TCTCCTCCTTCTGCCTTGTCTTCCTGGCAGGAGCCGGGACAGAGGTCCAGCCTGTCCCTGGCGGCAGCCCCGGCTGGAGTCAGAGGAGCGGGAAGGAGGCCGGGGAGGAGGGGCCCGCCAGCAGGATGCCCGAGTGGGAAGGGGGTCGTTACTGTAATGAGGGACCCCATGGGCATTCAGGGATTTCAGCCCTTTTTAGACATGAGCAGTGGCCCCAGGACTCGGCCCCTGCCCCATCCATCACTCTCCACAAGGCCCTGCATCCTCCCCAGCCCAGTCCTTGTCCACAGCCAGTCCTCCCTCTGGCCCCAGGGGCTCCACGGGCTGCGAAATCATTACAAGCTGGAACCAAGCCATCCCTATGGGGCCTGGTTCCGGGTCCTGCAGCCCCACAGTGAGGACAGGTGAGGCCAGGCAGGAGCGGGGAGAGGGCAGAGTGGACTCTCCCTGGGGGCCATGGCTCCCTGGTCAGTGCAGACCCTGTTGTGTGCTGGCCCCTAGGGCACCCAGATTCCAGCTCCTGGTCAGGCTCCAGGAGGGAGACCAGAGTGTGGCTCCTGCTAGCTCAGATGTGTCACTCTGTCCTGTAGCTACAGCCTGTCCCACCAGCTGAACTCCCCCTCCTCGTCGGCCAGCTCACCTTCACGGTCAAGAACAGGCCATCATGAAGGTCAGGGGCCAGTGCGTGGCTGCTCAGGCAGGGGAGGGCTCGCTTTCAACTCAGGGAGTCTCTGGCTGGTCTAGCAGGGGCTCCGGAGGGCTGGCTTTCCAGCTTCTCTGCTGACCAGCCCTGGGACTGGAGCCATTTACCTCCCAGGCCCCTGGCTGGGAGCCCAGGAGCAGTGGCCGACCACACTCCTGACACCAGGCCCCTGCGTGTGGCTCTTCCTCAGCACTGGGACACGGTGGGGACCCCGGCACATGGGGCCAGCTCCTCTCTCTGAGGGAAGGAGAACAAAGAAGACTTTCCTTGGGGTCCCCCAAGGCCACGTAAGAGGGGAAGAGTCTGCCCCCAAACAGTACATTGAAATTCTTCTTCTGTTAGAACCTGAGCATTGGAGTTTGGTTCTTTCACTTGCTGGGCTGACGAGACACACTTGCTCTCCATGACTCCTCCTCAGATGAAGAGCTCTTGCAGGTCCCGGGCATCCTGGACCTGGGGAGGGGAGAGGGGCCACTCCCCTCCCTGGCTCCTGCAGGAGACCTGTCCTCCCAAAGCCAGGATGGTTTCGGGTCGTGGTCCTGGGCCTGGGTTGGAGACAGCCCCTCACTGCTCTTGACTCTGGGGCTGAGTGGGCCTTTGTTAGGCATAGCAACGCCCACGGAAGGCAGGGGCTTCAGAAAGAACACACGCCAGGACCTGGTCCTACCCCAGGACGGTGGCTGCCTTGCCAGCTCCGGAGGAAGAGGGACATCCTCTGCTTCTCTGGGTGGTGGTCCCCTGACCCACGAGCAAACATTGGAAGGTTTCTGGCCTGCCTCTGGAAGTGCCCCAGGCAGTCACTGTCCACACACGAAGATGGACAACGTGCTAGGGAAGCACAGGAGGTGATCCTGTGCAAATGGCCTGTGGGTCGGTGGGGCTGGCTGCTTCAGCGCCCTCCAGCGGACCCCCTTTCCCTGGATAGGCATCCTCCTGGAGTCTCATCTCCACCCTCGGAGCTCCCTTCCTGCTGGTTTCAGGACCAAGGAGAGACTGTGGTGCGGCTTGGAAGGCTCTACCCCAGCCTCCTTCCGCACACATCACTGCTCCCCAGGAAGCAGGGGCTGTTGCTCCCGCATGCCCCGCACAAGGCTGGTTTAAGTCACTCATTCCCTCCAAGGCCCAGGCCCTCTGGCTCCGTCACATACATCATGGCCACAGCTGCCTGGCTGGGCGAGGAGTCCGGGAGAGCTCTCCTTTCCCGGGATCAGGGTTCACACTCCTGGCCAAAGAAAAATGTCCCATCTGTCCTCTGTTAGAGAAGGTGAATTCCTGGGCCGGGTGGCCCTCAGGTGCCTGAGGACATGGGGGTCCCCTGCAGGTCCCCTGGAAAGAAGGGTGTCGGGCACCCCTGTCTGGGAGAACAGTGAGCAGCACCCATCCCAGACCGCAGGTGCAGCCATCACCTGGCAGTGCTTGGCCTCAGACTCCCCCCCGGAAACTCTGGTTTGGTTTTTCACAGGTGTATTTTCAGGAGTGTTCAGCACAGCGGTGGTGGAGAGGGCAGGGAATGGAACACAAATGCCCATGGAGGATGGCATCCAGGGTCCTGGTGCCCAGGGTGGAGAGAAGGCTGTGGGGCAGTAATGTGGGTGCAGGGTCTGGGTGTGCCAAGAGGCAGACCCTGGGGTCATCCTATGTAAGACTAGGGACGCACTGTGTGCATCCAGCAGCTGGCACATACGTTCTGGAACCAGCCCTAACAGCAGCCTGGCTTTTGCCTGTGGCTGCAGAGAGAGTGAATGAGGAGAAGTCGCACTGCCTGGGGTTCCCCCCCAGCCTGCGGCACAGCTGTTGGCCCCTGGATGCAGTGAGTAGCTCGGCTTGGCTTGGCACGGCAGGGGCGCCCTGAGCTGACATCTTCTGCCCAGCCCTGCCAGCCCCGGCCCAAATCCCAGCTCCACCGTTACAGACCAAGCGGCCTGGGCAAGGTTCTTTATGCTGGGGCTTCAGTTACCCTGGGGACTGTGGAGAGCGGACACTCCCCAGGCGTCCACCCAGTGGCTGTGCACATTCCAGGAGGCAGAGCAGATATAAAGCTGGGTGGAGCCCGGCCCATTGGTGAGGGAGGGGGCTCCAAGGGTCACCTCCCCCATCTGCCCAAGGGGCTCTGCAGTACCCAGCTCCACGGGAGAGAAAAACAGAGCTCCTGGTGTGTGGCCACAGGACGTGTGCCCTGAGCGGGGGCATGGAGCAGAGGGCTGGGGAAGGTGGGTGGAAGATGCCCCCTCCAGGGGGCAGGTGTGAGCTGCCCTCTTGGAGGGACTGAGATGCTACTTCTGCTTCCTCCACTGTGGGGTTCTGGTCGTCCGTGCTGGGTGCTCTCAGCAGGCAGGAACACACTCCGGGGTCCCCATAAGCTCGGGCCACAGCCTCAGCTTCCAGAGCTCAGCTCTGACCAGGGACCCTGCCTGGGACTAGGGGACCGTGGGTGCTGAGCTCTGGGGTGTGGCAGAGCTGGTGACACTCCCCCGACCCCCAGGACCTGTTGGAGAAGGTGGTGCCTGACCACTGCCTGGGCTGCATCTGGTCCCAGCGGGACAAGAAGGGCAGGGAGCACCTGGCTCCCACCGTCCGTGCCACTGTCACCCAGTTCAACCGCGTGGCCTGCTGCTTCGAGGATGGGTGTGGCTGTCGGGCCCAGGGCCAGGGTGGTGGAGCACTGGATCCAGGTGGCCGAGATAGGCCATGGGAGGGCCAGGGAGTCCCTCTCCAGAGTTAGGCAACTCCTCTTTCACTCGGAGTTAAGTCTCCAGCGCTCTAGCTGTTCCTCCAGGCTGCTGGGTAAATGCGGGTGGGTGCGCTTCCTTCCCAGAACCACCCCAGCCTGGCCCCAGGAAGCCCGGCCCCTTTTGCTCCTTCTGTGGGCACTGCACTTGCAAGGGGACAGCACCCCACCTGCCCAGGACTGCCCAGGACTGCCCAGGACTGCAGGGAATGCTCACAGCCCACAGAGCCTTCAGCCCAAATGGCCAGACCTGGGAGGGAGGCAGGTCTGGGTGCGCCCGGGGAGGCCGCGCTCCGCCCCCAGGGCCGGACATGCTGATCGCAGAGAATGCCGTAGGGTTCTTCAGGGACGAAGTGCCTGAGGACTTCGCGCTAGCTTACACGGAGGTCGGCGGCTGCATCAGGTCCCTCCCCACCTGCCCCGGGGAGCAGTAACTAGTTCGCTTGTGAGAAGCACCAGGGGCCAATGAGTCCAGGGCGGGTCCTTCGAGACCCTACCCCGCAGCTTCCTCGGGAAGGAGGACGCGGCGTGTCGCCGGCCGGGGCCCCAGCTGCCCCTCGCTGTCAGTGAGAGACCCGCCCTGAGCGCGTGGAGGCAGCGGTCCCTGCAGGGGATCTTCCCGAGGGGCTCGCGGGGAGGTGCGCCCGGGAGCAGCCGCTCAACCGAGGCTCCCGGAGAGCCGGGCGGCCTTCTGCGGGGAACAGAGAGGGGGCTTCAGCTCCGGGGACGCTCACGGGGTGCGGGACAGGAACTTCGGAAGACGTTATCGAGTGCTAACGTGCCTGGCGCTGTTCCGTGTGCTTTGCATAGACTGACTCACGCAGTCCTGCCACCCGCGGGACGTAGGTCACGGGGATCTCCATTTTGCAGGGTCCCATTCTCCCGGAGGAGGACCCGGGGCTGCCGCCCGCCCCGGACCGAGCCGCAGGCGCGGGCAGGAGAGTGGCAAGTCCTGCCTGCCGGGCCTGGCTGTCTCGGGGGAGCGCTCCCATCCCCCCAACTCGCCCCGCCCCGCCCTCGACGCGACCCGCAAGTCCTGGCGCCCGCAAGACCGCAAGGGGCCGCTAGAGGGCGCTGCGGCGGCGGGCTCGGGGCGGTGCGGTGGGACCCTCGCAGGCCGCCGTAGGCGCTATAAAGGGCGCGGCGCGCGCGGGGGCGTTCTTTCCCGGCGGCGGCGGCGGCGGCGGCGGCGGGCGGAGCGTGGTGGGTGGTGGGGGACGAGCGGCGGGCCTTCCCGGGAGCAGGCGGCGGCCAGGTAGCAGGGGTTTGGTGGGGGCGGGGGGGTCCCGGCCTCCCAGAAGCCCGCGCAGGTGCTGCGGGGCCGCGCTGGCGCCGGCCGCCCCCGCTCGCCGGTGGGGACCCGGGGGAAGCCGCCGCCCGCCCCGGCCGTGTGCGCGTGCGCGGTGCCGGCGGCCCTGCTGGCCGGGCGGCCTGCTGCAGAGCTGCGTGCGCTGCCCGCGCGGGTGCCTGCCCGCCGGCGTGTGCGACGGGCCCCAGGGCTGGCGCTGCGGGCGGGCCCGCCGCGCCGTGACACGCCGGCGTTGCACACGCTCGAGCCGGGCCGGGGCTCCGGGGGGCAGCGCAGCCGTGCGCGGGCGGTCAGGCTTCTCTAAAGGGGAGGTTTCTTCCCCCCGGAGCTGGCCTGCTGGAAACCGCGCGCTTGGGAGGGCGCGTCCCGGGCGAGCTGACACGTTGGTGCTGGGATGAGTTCGCCCCGAAGTACGACTGTGCTGCAGATTCGGCCCCTTGTGTGCAGTCTCCTGTGTCGGGGGTACTTGGTCCTTAATGCACGCGGCCGGGGAATCTGCCGACAACCTGCCCCCAGAGGCGTTGCAGGTGTGGCTGTTTGTGTCACACTTGTGTCATTCGGTGGCAGAAAGAAGAGAGGCTTATCTACGCCCAGTGTTCAGCTGGTGAACGTCTGGATGATTAAAGTCTGACACCCGACCCAGCGCTTTGGGCCTTGCCTGAGGCCACCCTGTGGAAACCGTCCCCCCGTCTCCTGGTTCTTGGATGGTCTCCGACGGGCACGTGGCCCTAGGTAGTGGGCCGCTCCATTTCAGGCGGAACAAAGGACGCCCCTCAGTAGTTCCTCCTGCTTCCTGCCTGGCCCGCAGGGTAGGTTTTTCAGAATCCTGCAGAAGCAGGGAAGGTTTGCTGGAACCTGGTCCGGTGAACGGTAACGATGACGGCCGACTTTTATTATACTCTGATCTCGGGCTGAGTATTTTTGTTACTTAATACAGGAACGAGGGCAACGGCTGTTGCCCCGGAGGGACCCCGAACACCTTCCGCCACCATCCAGGCCGAGGTAAGAGGAGAGACGAAGCTGGCCTCCCGGCTGGGTGGGAGGGAACAGCTGCCCTGCCGGTGCTGGACCTGCCGGCACCCCAGATCCAGCTGCTCTGCTGTACCTCGGACGTCAGGGCAAATAGGAAGTGGCTATTTCTACGCTCAGTGCTCAGAACAGTGAGCACTAAGAATGGTTTGTAGCCGAACATGCCGTAGCAGCTGTGGATTGCTGCTTGGCGGGCACACCCGCCTTCGGGCTTCTAGCTAGGAACGCCGAGCATGTCACCAGGTGCTTTGGTTTTCTGATTCGTCTATAAGATGACACTCAGGAGGTTCGAGTGAGCCATGCATGTGTATGAGCCGGTGGCCAGTTTGGGGCACAATGGGATTGACCAGGAGAGGGTCTCCTTCCTGGAAATGGTCATTCTGTAGGTGTGTTTGGAGGGCTTTTTGGAAGTCCTTGCCAAGCGTGTCATGTGTGTCTGGCTGAGATCTGCTATGAGTGGCCTGGGGTGTGTTGCCGCTCCCTGCGGGGGCTACCGAGGCCTGTGCCCACATACACCCCTGTTTTAAGGACCCTTGAGACTAGCGGCACAGGAGGCCATCTGGTCAGGCTGGGGAGGGGGAGGGACCCCCAGAGGGCTGCACCTGGCTTTGTCCTGCCAAGGAGACAGGTCGGCCCGTGTGGAACCCTGTAAGCCAGGGCTCTGGTGAGAGGAGGGGGGTGGCCTCGGTAACCCCACTGGAGTGACAGGTGTGACTGAGGCTTTCCTGCCTTCTTGCAGGTGGAGAGCTCAACACTGGTACAAGCAGGCGAGACCCGGGCTGGCTGCTCAGGGTGACAGACTCACCAATTTCAGGTTAAAAAGAGTAAGATGTTTGGCATTTATTTTCTGAAGCATTTGTGCAGAACGTGGGTGTGTTGGGAAGCAGTCACGTGTGCTCAGCTCATGAAGCTTGCACCGGGGAGGTCTGCTGGGCCAAGGCAGCAGGAACTGTCAAGTGTTGGCAGACACTGTTCGGGATTCCAGAAGGTCCGGGCGGGCCAAGGCAGAGAGGAGGGGTCGGAATAAACAGAAGCTAGTGGCCGTTTGCGGAGGCACAACCAGACGCCGCTGTGGCCTGGGCTCTGCTCTCAGGCGGGGAGCCACTTCAGGGACAGGGCGTGCCCCAGCTTGCAGGCCCCAGGCCTGTAGGGGTGGCCCTGTGTGTGTGCCTCATGTAGCAGGTGAAGGATGAGCAGGCTCTTCCCCTGGCACCCTGTGTCCTGCTTCTTAATCCTCCAGCCGTTGTGTTCTAGGGGGAAGAAAAATCCTTGCAGCGTTCTCCAGCTGCCCAGAGCCCACGATTCTAATTTTCTTTTCATTAAGATTTATTTTGGAGCATAAGCTGGGGGTGAGGGTGGACAGAGGGAGAGAGAATCTGAAGCAGAGTCCACACTCAGCCTGGAGCCTGACGTGGGACTTGATCCCACGACACTGAGATCGTGGCCTGAGCTGAAACCTAGAGTGGGGCGCTCAACCGACAGTCACCCCAGTGCCCCAATTCTAAACTGTTTTGTGCTGTATTTGGATTACCCACCCCACAAGGGAGAAGAATCTAGATGGGAAAGAAAGTTACTTTTTAATGTAGGTAAGGATGAGTTTTAGGAATCAATACTAAAAATACAGGTATCACAGTTGAAATTTTGGAATACATTTTTCAATAAAAGTGTGTGTTGGCAAAACTTGAGATTGGTGTTGAATAAACCGTCTTCACTTGGTTTTTCCTCACAGTGTGATTAGCTGAGGCCAGAGCAGGAGGCTGGTGGGTACGTGTGTGCACATGCACGCCCACGCCGGTGGGTGCAGGGAGGAGGGGGGCAGCTCGCTTTCCTGAGCTGTCGCCTGCTTATTTGGCTGTGTGACGTTCAGGGGTTCCTGCATAGCCTTTCCCAGGCATTGTAACCACTTGGAGTTGAGCCTGCAAAGGTCAGTGGCCCCCGAGGACTTCGGGAGTAGGCTCTGCCCACCGCAGCCCGGGACGGGGACGCAGCCCTTCCCCCAGCTCCGAGCCTCCTGGTGCCTGGGATCTCTTAATAAACCTTGTGACTACTTGTGTGGAGGTTTTGAAACCTTGCCTTTCGTCAAAACAATGCTGGGAGTTTTCACTTCCCAGAATGGAAGCAGAGGGAGCCACCTGCTGATCGCCTCCATGGGGCAGGTCACAGCCCTGCATATTCTCCATTCAGCGCACCAGCCTGGGCTCAGCAGTGGGGCCTCCATGGGAAAAGGGTGTCCGGCTCCTGCAGTTTCCCCTTGGGGAGAGGCAGGGAGAATGCTTGGCTCTTTCCTAGATGATGGATTTTTCACCTAGTGGTTTATGGATATGTGTTGGAAGTCCCGCGCGGCTGGACTGTAGGAGAGGGTCTGGGACGGGAGGAGCCCGGCCCTGCAGCTTGTTACCAGGACACCCGGCTCTCCATTGGTACCTTCCTTGGGAACCGTAGCACAGTGCAGCAGCATCCGGCATCCTATCGCCACCCCCCCAATGTGGCTCTAGGAGAGACCGTACCTGTGATGCCCGCTGAGGCCTCCCCAGCGGATGGGGACCCGGAGGACCATGCTGCATTCCGTCCAGCCTGGGCAAGAGCAGCCCCACCTCTGAGCTCAGAAGGCCAGTGGCGGGTCTGGGAGGCAGGGGTCCAGCATGGCGTGAGGGAACCCAGGGACACTCACAGAAAAGCTGTTTATTTACATCACACGTTCTTCAAAGTAACAAAGTCCCGGGTGAGTCCTTCAGCCAGCCCTTGTGGTCAGGCTCCAGGTGCTCCTTCCTGCCCCCCCTTCCAGCTATGCGGCTCCCCCGTCTGGGTTGTTGGCATCTGGGGCAGAGGGAAGGACCCCCTTCCCTGGCTTGTTGCGGGTGGATGCAGGCCAGGCCTCCAGCTCCTGGGTCCTGTCCTTTGCGGGGTGGTAGGGTGAAGAGGGAGGGAGACCCAAGGGCGGGAGTGGCTCTCTGGGGCCCCAGGCAGCTCCCTGGGAGTGGGGACAGGGTGGGGGGCTGGGAGCCAGCCATCACGAGTACTTGGTGTTGGAGATCTTCTTCCAGAGCAGGGTCTTGAGGTGGCTCAGCACCAGTGAGTGGTGGGCCTCCACCTGGCTGGCCAGCCCGCTCAGCGTCGTGCAGGTGCGCAGCTGCTTGCCCAGCTCCTCGCGCAGGTCGGCAGGGGCGCCGGGCAGCAGGTAGTCCCGTAGCAGCTCGCACACCTTGGCCAGGTTGGGCTGGATGAGGTCGCCCTTGCACTGTCTCATGAGCTTGTCACAGGGGGCCCTGCAGTCCCGGCCGTAGGTGCAGTCCGAGCTGCGCTCGCAGTGGCGGCCCTGCAGGAAGCGGCGCACCGTGGCCTCGGGCGCCACCTGCTGCAGGTCGGCCATCTTGAAGTCATACTTGGCGGTGTAGCCCACGTTGGCCAGCGTGGTCTCGCACATGTAGAAGGTCCCGTAGGCGCCGTGGAAGAGCTCCTCCACAAACTCCAGCAGGCCGATGGCGATCTTGGCCCTCCAGGGCCACGCGGGCCCCAGCCACCGCTGCAGGGCTGTGTGCAGGGCGGGGGGCAGCAGTGGGCGCAGGAGGGGCGGGAGAGCGGCCCCGTGCCAGGAACCGTGTGGGACCCCCTCAGTGACATAGAGGTCCCCGCAGGAGCCCAGCAGCCGGGACGCGTGCTCCTCCTGGAGGGACAGCAGCAGCAGGAACTCATTCCGCTGGAGCAGGGCCCACACCGACTTGGCCTCGGCCAGGGACACCCTGCTGTCCTTGTTGAAGTCGGCCATGAGCAGGACCTGCCCAACCAGCGCGGGCAGGGAGGGCAGGTCTCCCAGGTTCGCCTGACATGGGAGACCCAGAGAAAGGGAGACCACGTCATTTCAGGGCCAGTGAGCCTGACCTGGTGGTGACTTTCTACGTTGGCAGGGTGCCCACCTTGACCTAGTCGGCTCGGACCCCTGGTCGTCCGCTGGGTACATCTGCCAGCTTGGGAGAGCCCGGCCTCCAAGCACACGGAGGGGACAACCCAGGGCTGTGCAGAGCCCCCCTCGCCGACCACTGGTGCACCGTCCTTTCTCCAGGAGCTGCTCCTGGGGCCCTCATGTCCCTGCATCTCCACCGGTGCTCTGGGAGCTGGGGAGCAGGCACTTGGATCTGCTCTCACCCCACTTCCCATGCGCAGGGTCCTCTGCACCCAGTAGGTGCTCCCCTGAGCGGAGGTCTGCTTGGAGCTGAGGTCCAGCCAGATGCCTGGCTGGGGGCTGTGGCTCCCACCCCTGCCCCCGTCTCCTGCCCTGAACTCCGCACGGCCCCCAGGAGCCAACTGACCTTGAGAAAGCTGAGGGTCATCTCTCGGAACTCCTTAATTGAGGTGCCCCGAGTGGGCTTGTCGAACAGCACCAGCTCCTGCCGGGGGGCCGGGTCCGACCTGGCCTTGGGGTCCAGGCCCTCCTCGATGCCACACTTAATGGTCACCTCCTTGCCCTGCCACAGCCCACTGTACACCTGCATGGGGCCACAGGGGTCCTCGAGCAAACGCCCCCTCCTGCTGCACCCTGCACTCGAGCCCCGGGCCCCCAGGCCAAGGGGCCCAGGGCTGACCCCAGTCAGACCCTCCTGGGCTTACCTGCTGGCCTGGGACAGAGGACAGGCACGTCCTCCACTCTACCTTGTGCAGGTTGCACAGGTCCTGGCAGATGGAGCCGGAGATGATGCCCTTGCGGTACTGGTCACACTGGGGACAGGAGGAAGACACCAGGAAGTGGCCTAAGGAGGTGGGGCCCTCCCCCCATCATCCACTTGTGGCAGGTTGAGGTCCCATTGCATCTGCCGTTTGCCACCTGGTTCTTAAGCCCCTCCACATCTCAGAGGGGCCCCCAGACCACAGCAGCTGGGAACGACAGGCTCCAGCCATACCTGACCACGCGGAGGTCCAGGGCACCCATGGCGCTGGCAAGAGCCTCTGCTCACCGCGGCCCCTTGCAGAGTCCGCGGCGCCCCCCACCTCCTGCGAGGTGCATAAGTCTGGGTCTCCCTGGCATGGGCTCTCCCCAGTGCCAGGAAGCAGGAGCAGCAGAGCCTGAGACATGAAGGGGCCCTGCCAGGCCGCCTCATTAGCCAGAGGCCCCGGGAACCACTGGCAGCAAGAACCAGGCTGGGCTCCCGAGCCGCGGCCGCCCCCCTGGCCCCTTCCCCTGCAGCCCCCTGAACCCTGCAGGTCCTGGCTGACCCAATTAGGATGGTGGGGAAGCCAGAGGTGATGGAGTCGGCTCTTCCCCCCCACCGGGGCAGGGAGGTGCGGCCATCTGGAGCTCTGGAGCTGGGGGTGCCTCCCTGGAAGTGCATCACCGTTGCCATGGAGCCCGGGCCCTTGCGGGAGCCAGGCTGGGAGGAAGGAGAGGGAAGTGAGCGTGCAGAGTGTGGAGAGCAGGGCGCCACCCAAGTGTGGGGAGGACGGAGGGCAGGGCAGGGAGGGAACCAGAGGCCCCGCGAAGGGGGCATTAGGAAAGCAGCGGCCGCTCATCAAGATGGTAAAGAAAGCCTAAGGAAAACCCATTCCACCACCTTGTAGGGAGTGCCTCCACCCCAAAGGGTCGGCTCTGAGCCCCAGAACTGCAGGGCCTTCGAGGGGGCCGGCCAGGGACACGCTTCTGCCTGGCACCACGCCTCCCCACCAGTGCCAGGGAAGGAGCCTGCTGGCCACACTGCCCCCCTGGGCTGGGGAGGGGCTCCCCAGGGGCTGAGAGGGGCAGTGTGCCCCATGGTCTCGGGGTGCCTCCAGCCCATCAGGCTTGGGGCAAGCTGCCCTGCTTCCCAGCCTGTTTCCCCCTGCGGGGGGCCGAGTACCTGCCAAACACCCAGAGCCTGTAAGAACTTGACCTGTGACCCCTGGTCGCACCCTTAGACACACTGTGGAACCCCCACGAAGCAGGCAGGTCTCCTCTGGAAAGGAGGGGGCATCCCCACAGCCCAGGGGGGACACCCTAGGGAGACAGCCCTGGGCACACAGTTTCCTCGGGCTCAAACGCCTGCTGAGCCTCCAGGCAGCTGGTCCCTGCACCCCTGGGCCAGAAACCCCTGCCCCGCCCACTGCCCTCACTCCAGCGGTGCGTCCCTCCCACCCCCATAGCTCACTCCAGCCCTCACCTGCCGTGCGGGGCCCATGGCCACTGCCCGCCGCACCATCCTGGCTGCCCCCCGCCATCCTGGCCCTCCCCAGCCCCACCCTCACCCTGAGCTGTCCAACAGCAGGGCTTCTCCCCACCCCCCTACCCAGAGGCCCCACGTCTGGCCTGGACTGTGAGGGCAGAGCCATGTGTCCGGTGCCCAGCTCAGGCCTGGCCCCTGGAGGCCACCGGTGAGCCTTTCTGAAGCGCGCCAAGAACAGGCAGGAGACAGGAAGGCCTTTTCCCCCAAGCGTGGGAACTGCGTCCTCAGTGCCCCATGCTGGCCTGGCCCTTTGGGGAGGTACTTAGCCAGCAGTTGGGGGGACTGGACGCCACCCGGCCTCTTGCAAATCCTGTCGCAGGGGTTCTCCCACCTCTGGACTTCCCCACATTTGGCCCCTGTGGGACCCTGGCCAGAGCAGGCATGCCTGCGCCCTTCCGGGGCCAGCATCAGTCCCACACAGCCCCCCAGGAGAGGAGGCCCCTTCATCTTACAGCGGGGAGGAGCAGCTCCAGCCCCGGCCAGTGGCATCACAACCCTGGCCAGCAGCTCGCTGGGGGCTCCAAACTGCCTGGGAAGGCCAGGCAGGGTGCGGGGCAGGGTCAGAAGAGTCTGGGGCTTGCCAGGGCCCCTGGGGCTGGTGTGGTCGGTCCCTCCAGCCCGAGTCCTGGGGTGTCCACTAGGTGTGCACCCGTGGGTCCATGTGCCTTCCTGTGTATGGGCACGCGCGGGCTCCTGAGCCCGCCACCTCACGTGCACACCCACGGACACATGCCCACTCCTGAGCGGCCCACACGTGTAGACGTGCACGCACACCTCACACTCACTCTAGGCCACAGGCTGCCACTTAGGCCCAGCCCGCCACCCCTTGTCCCCAAGGACCCTGCCTACGGCCTCCTTTGGTGAACCCCTGGCCCGGGGGGGGGGGCTCAAGGCCACCAGTACCTGTCCACCCCAGTCTCCCTGCTAAAAGTCCCCTCCGCAAACATCTCAACATCCCAGCCCCCAGCTCTGCTCTCCCACGCTCCTGCAGCAGGGCCCTCCCCCCGCCGTCCCTCCCTTCGTCCCTGCCGCACCCAGAGCAGGCAGGTCCATCTCAAAGTCCACCGCGCCGGCGCCTCTGAGGATCCAGGGCCAACTGCATGTGACCCGTGCGCATGGGCCAGCACCGGGCAGGGAGGAGCCCTCCCACAAGGCCAGCCCAAGGTGACACTTACGATAACCACCTGGCAGACGTGCCCACGGCAGAGCTCCGCGTGGGACGAGTAGTGCACGTACACCATCCAGCTGCCCACAGAGACGCCCAGCCAGACCAAGAAGACGTACTTGACCCTGAGGCCCGGGAGCCGGCCCTGCTGGGAGAGAGGCCTGTGAGGAAGCGCCACATTCGGGGTGCGTGTGCCCTCTCCACCAGCCCCAGCCTTCCCAGCGGACCCCTCCCTGGGGCCAGCACCCTGCCCTGCTCCAGCTTCCAAAGCTGCCCGTCGCGGAGGGGGCGTTCCTGGGCCTCGGCATGCCCACTCTGGGGCGGGGCCAGGTGCCTAGCGCTCTCAGACTTTTACATCTCACGAGTGGGCAGGAATAAATTTCAAAATGCACGGAGACACATGGTAGACGACTCTATGTTGATCTATTTTGATGAAAAAAGATACAAATTTCCCTCCTGCCTTGCTGACCTTTAACCTCTGCACAAGGTCAGGCTGGAAAATCCGCCGCCCCCCCAGCCACCCTCCATCCTCTGACTGGTGGGCAGTTCCAGCTGAAGCAGGCCGGGCCCGGGAACAGGTATGGAGGCTGCAGGTGCACAGGGCAGGCCTCAGCAGCCCAGGCACCCTGGGAGCCTTAAAGAGACAGCACCTCGGACACTGCGAGCAGGCGGCATCGTCCCCAGAACCAAGGGTGCACCGACAGGTGAAGAGCTATGCAAAACAGGGTCCGTCCACATCGTGGAAAATCATTCACTCTAAGAGGAAGGAATCCCAGCTCCCGCCACAACGCGGATGAACGTGGAGGGCAGGGTGCCGAGTGAGATCAGCCCAGCACGGAGGGACCGATCCCGAAGGGTCCACTCCCAGGAGGCCCCAGAGGAGTCAGACCCACAGACACGGGGTCAGGGGTGGCGGTCAGTGTGTAACGGGACAGAATCCAGTCTGGGACGATGACTATGTTCTGGGGACAGAGGAGACGGTGCACAACACCGGGAACGCACGGACACCCCTGAGCTGTGCACTTAAAAGCGCGTAAGAGGATAAAGTTTAAGTCACGTGTATGTTCCCACGACAAAGAATAAATAAGACAGACATCCCACGGCCCTACGGCCAGAGGCGCTGCCCCCATGTGTGTGTGGGGGCCGGGAACAGCGTCTTGGGGGCTCAGCCCCTCTGCCAGGGCTCCCCAGCTGACGCGCAGAATCACAGGTGCGGGGGGCCCAGACCCACCTGCGGCTGCGGCAGGTGGGCGAGGGCACGGCCTCCCATCCGGCTGCCCCTGCCCTGGCGAATCCCAGGCCACCTGGACTACTGTCCAGGAGCAGCCAGATGAGGGGATGGGGTTACCAATGTTCCAGTCGGGGCGGGCCGGGCCCCAGAGAAAAGGGCTGGAACCCAGGGCCAGGAGGTGCTCCGCGCCCCACTGGGCGGCGGCTCCAGTCCCGTTAGCCCCGGGGCCTGCTTAGCCAAAGGCTGGGGCTGGCTCTTCAGTGAAGACAGGGTAGGGGCCTCTGCTGTGGTCATCTTTATGGCTCCTCCAGGAGAGGCAGGGGCCTCCCTTCCTGCTTCCCGGGCACCAGTTCACAAAGCAGGCCCCCCTGGGAGGGGCTGTAGCAGGAGGAACCCTGAGAGCGGCAAGGACTGGGGTGCGCTGGGCACAGCCAGAGGGCTGGGCCTCAGGCCCACTTGTCCTGCACCACATCTGCTTCCGTCAGATTTGTTCAAAAGGAAAAACAGGAAAACAGAGAAACAGTGTTGGGGGGGGGGGTTTTGGCAGGACAGGGTCAGAAGACTTCCGGCTGGCAGAGAACAATGCTGTAGGGGGGGGGTGAGTGTGGGCCGGGGGGGGGGGCTGGCAGCCAGGAGGAGGGCAGGCTGGAGCAGCACTGGACCTGGGGCTGACCCCAGAGTGGACTCAGGCTCACCGAGGGACCACAGGGCCCACCACAGACACGAGCCACACCCCAGCCAGACCCCACCCCCCACCCCAGGCTCTCCCAGGACACTGTCCCCACCTGGCCAGCTCTGACCAAGCTGACACCCTGATCTTAGAGGGGCACCTCCTCTAGGAGCAGTCCCTGACCTCCATGGGTCCTACCTCCCGCCAGGGAGTGAGCCCCCAGGACAGGGCAGGTCTTACTCTTCAGTGCGTCCCAGGCAACTGCTCCCCAAGCCCACCTGGCCCTGATTCCTGGTGGAGCCACGGACTCAGGGGTCAGTAACAGCCACGTTACCCAGGGGCCAGCACCCCACATGCACAATGGCACCAAGCCTACCTCCAGCCCAGGAGGGAAACTGAGGCTCTGAATGTGACCTGACAACAGCACGTGGGCAGGGCTGGCTCAAACCCCTGGGAACCAGCCTGTCCTGGGTCCTAGGTCAAGCTCTGGGCCTCCCCTGCAGCAACCTGGTCAAGGTCCCTCCCTCAGGGGACAGGGGAGGGGGCAGTGCACAGCCCACTTCCTGGCCTAGGGGTGGGCCATCAGACCCCTCAGCTCCCACCCGGCCTAGAGCTGGGCCAAGACCAGGATGCACCCTGAGGCCCCAGGTGGGCAGGAAGGGTGTCCCACACTGACACAAAACCGACACGTTTCCTGGCTCTGAGGCTCCCCCCGCCACCGCCCCACCCCCGGCGGGGAACCCTGTTGCCCTGGCCCAGGACAGCCTGGGGAGGCCAGGGAGGTGCGGGCTGCTTGGGACAGGACTGCACCCCAGGCCAGCCCGGTCATGGGGTGGGCCTGGCTCAGACCACCTAAACCAGAAGTGACAGGCTTCGCAGCGGGGCTCCCAAGGCAGCCTGGGCTTCCCCAGTAGAGAGCGGGCCACCGGCAGGGACGGTGACTTGTCCAAGGTCATGGTGGGGGTCAGGCACACCCCTAAGCTCGGGCTGGCTGGGAGATGACCCAGGGGCAGGTTCTGTCCTTCTGAGAGCGCTTCTATGTGTCCCAAGTTTTCCATAACAGAAAAACAAACCTTACCGCTTTTAAGTGAAAAAACAGGCACGGACCTGGCGTGCTTTCTGGGCCTCCGGGAGGGGTGGGGCGGTGGGGGTCCAGCCCGTGGGGGAGGGGCTTCTTCAGCCCCGGGGTCAGGGCTGCCACCCCGCAGCATCCGCCGCCCCTCTGCCCGCCCCATCAACGCCCCATCAACGCCCCCTCCCCAGCCCCTCCCAACCCCGCAGCCGCCCCAAGGCCACGCAGCGCGGCGCGCAGGAACCCCGCGTCCCGCAGCCGGCCCCCTGGCTGGCCGCCGCGGCCCGCACCGAGGCCGGGCGGGCGGGCGCCTACCTGCAGGCCCTTGGAGAAGGGGCAGAAGAGCACCAGGTGCGCCAGGCGCCGCAGCCGCCGCATGGTGGGCCCCCGGCGTGCGCGGGCCCGGCTCGGCTCGGCCTCAGCCCCGCGGGCCGGCCCGCAACGGCCGCCCTCTGCCGCCGCCTTCCCGCGCGCCCGCGCCCGCGCCCGCGCCCACGACCACGTCCACGTCCACGCGAGGGCGCACTCTGCCGGCCGGCCCGGGCGGGGGCGCGGGCGCGGGCGCGGGCGCGGGCGCGGGCG